GAGTCTGACCTTTTTTAATCATATTTGGCAAAGTTTGTATTATACAACCCTTTGAAAGAACGTATTTCTGCATTAGAAGTCTAAACCTTCTTGCCATGCCATATCTCCAGTTGAGGACTTGGTTTTATATTTAGACTTTAAACGTAGTTAGTTTCCCTGTAGGGAAGATATACAGAAGTTGATTTTGATCTTGCATATCCCAGCAGGATTGTGAAATCTTGGTTATAACCAGTGGGAACTTCTAAGCCTTAGTATGGTATTTCTGTCTCTAGTCTAATGATGTTCCCAAATGGTGCAACTTTTATAAATGTAATTTTAGATGCGGACTTCGTTTAAGTTCTGCTTGTTCCATTTCCTCATGTGATAGTTATACCATGTTGCCACAGAAAGCAACTGACATTTTCACTAAGGCTGGTATGCCCACTTGACTTGGTCTGTGATCTGAATATAGATCAATACTGGACAGTAATCTTTGCCTTAACATTTATTAAAATAGAAGTTTGGGGTTTTTTTTAAGAAATTTGTTCCCATTTTTCTTCATGAGAAAATTTGATCCAAACTAAGATTTTATCTTAAGATTTAATTGTAAGGTCTGTCCAGCTGCATGATGATTACATTTATAGGAAAGTAAACATGTAAGAAATATAGAAAAGCAAAAGCTGCTGGAGCAGTAAATAATTTTTCTTGATACAAAAGAATCTGATTTTCATACACAACAGATTACAAATAGCTAAACTAAGCTCTCTCTTTAAAATTGTCTATTAGAAAATGGACTGTAATATGCACTAGAATTAAGCTTGCTGAATGTCTTATGCTAGTTTGACACAATTTGCTTATGCCCTTGTGCCACTCCGAGGCAAATGTTGCATGTGTAAAGCTTCTACCTATAAATGACAGTTTCTTGGCAAGTCTAATAAATGTCAACTATTTTTTAATTAAAGGGAGAATGAAAAAAGTTGTATTTCCATGCAATTAGCTCCACTTTTGAAGATTGTATCTGCCTCCAAAAAGTGAACCAGAGCAAAAATACAGCCTTAAGGGTCCTATGCTCTTCTTCTTCTTGAAAACACTTTTTAAAAACCAACCAACCAAACAAAAAAAAAACCCCAAACCTTCAGAAATCTGTATGATGGCAAATACTAAGAATATTTTGTGATTGTTTGGTAAGATTTTAATTGGCTGCTATAAAATTTGGAGTCATCACTCTGTATTTTTTCCTGTGACATCCTTACAAGTGGCTTGTTTGAGGCCACTGTTGCTAGAGTTAATACAATAAAAAGTTGTAAGTGATTCCATGAAATATTCACATCTAAAAATCTCAGACAGAAATGACAGACCTCAACAAAGAACAAAGAAAAAGGAACTTTGCAAATACAGAAACTACAGCAGATTGATGATCTGGGAGGTTGCCTTTTGGTGAGGTTTGTTTTTGTCTGTTTGTTGTTCCCCCAGTGTTTCCTACACTTAACAATATTTTTTAACTATAACCTTTTATGAAAGAAAGGAGGATTTTTTGTAAGGGACCTGCAGTTTCTGGCTGCTTCCACTTAGGAACAGTATTAACTATATATGAGAATGAGAGGAAGGAGGACAAGTACAAAGGCATATTAAATGTGCATCTTTCTTGGAAAATTTGAAACCATGTTCTTTTGAAGGGGTTACCTACTGATAATAGAAACAATGTCTGAGAACCAGATATAAACAGATTAGGATAAAGAATAACTTGTTTACTTTGTGTACAGTTAGATCTACTCATCCTCTACCTAACTAAGCAATCTAGTAGCAAAGGCTTTAAGCATATACTTAATTTTAAGCACAAGCTAACATTTTGTGTTACTAATTCTGAGCTTCAAAAGTAAAAAAGATGCTTCATTGCCCCACTGGCTCTGATTTTGTTTTCCCAAAGTAAAATGTAGAAAGAAACGCATATAAAATATACCAAAGCTGGTGTGGGATAGTCTGGTATCTAAAACCACTTTTAACTCTGTAGTTTAACAGCTTTCCAATAATAGAAAATTGTGTGTGTATATGTGCGTCTGTGTGTTCATGCACATGATATGACAAAACCTGAGAACTTGGCCAAGACCATATTGCGTACGGAGCCTTATTCTTCCCACGTTTTCAGGTTCTGTAGCCTAAGTGTGTGCATATTGAATATGTGTGCATATTTAGTTTGCATTTAAATAAATTTTCTATTTCTATCAGAGTATATAAAATGCCAGGTTTCAATTTGTAGAAATTTTCACTATGTTTACTCAAAGCTGCAGCGTTTTTCAAAAGAGATCAAAGACTCATAATATGGACCTCATTGTTATCAATTCATGCTGACATGCAGAAATTTGTAATTGGTAAAAACACCGTGACAGGTAAAAAGTATCAGCATAACTAGGGAAACTTTAGTACTGTAATAGATATTCCTTTGTATAAATTGCTTTTAATTAAGGTATTCCACAACCCTATGAAAGATTTGAATGTGCCATATTTATGAATAGCTGAAAATTTCTGGTAATAACTTGCTAATCTGTTTCACAAACTACTGTAGGATGTGGCTGCATTTCACAGGCAGATTTCTTTTTAAGCATGCACTAACCTTTGAATCAAACATTAATCTGCCCAAAAATACTAGGAAAAAAACCCCATTTTTTTTAAAATTCCAAAATGTTTTATAAATCTGGAGAAGAAATCTCACAGATTGGTGAGATGTCCCAATGAACTATATATTAAAAAGCTATACAATTAAAGAACTGCATAAACACTCTGTTAAATTAGACTTACTTATTGATAGAGCATCACGTGATACTTGTATTTTTTATTAAGTATTGATATCAGAACCTCTGCATTTTGGGCACCCAACATGACACCTGAATATATACAACATGCTGAGCACCATTTCTCTGAAAATAAACCTTCCTGACAGTATCTCATATTGGGCCCTTTCAAGTATTAGACCCTTCTGTCTTTGTTATACTCTTAAGGTTTTCCCTTGATACTCCCCAAAATATATCTACGTATGCAATATTTTTAAGATTCCTAAAGAGAGAGAAAGGCTTCAAAATCAGAGGTACAATTATCGCATTATTCCCTTCCACCCCATAGGAAGAAGGTAATGATTTAGGGTTTAATTCATTCTGAGCAGCTAAGAGGAAACAATACATACCCACCACATACATTTTAAGTAAGGAGCTGAAAAGTAGACTAGATGTGCATTTTGCAACTGAAATTTTCTCAGAAAATGTCAGTTCACAACAACATACCCTATTTCTATGAAATTTGGATTAGGAAACGTTTTCCAGGTTCTGGAAGATGAACAACCAACTGTAAATACCCAATTAAAAAATAAAACCCAATTTTTTTTTCTTTGCTTTTTCACTGTCATTCATTAGGTTTGTGTCATTGCATTAATAAATCAAAACTTTCCCTAAGGGTTATAATTTGAAGCACACACTGGTTGGATTCTAAACAGACATTATATTGCAGTAATAAAATACTAACAGTCCAGAATAACCACTTTAAAAGGCCCAATCTCCTCTGCAATGGAGATACATATCTTTGGATAGCTTAACAAATCAATCGTATGTTTTTTATTTTACTGAATAAATGTGGCTATAATGATGAGCTCTGTAGACCTGTTTTATTTTTCCAAAGAGAGACATCAAAGACCGTAGCAGATTATGCTTTCTCCTATTAATTAACTTCAGCCCATAACCTAGTAAGGCCTTTGTCAAGATGCAAGATTATTCAATTCTTAGTTGCTCTGCTGCAATGGAGAGAAGAGAGGGAACATAAATTGTCTATTTTAATTTTATTAGATCTATCAGACTGCTGGCTACAGGATGTTACTGAAACATTTACCACAGCAGAATGAGTTGCTCTCTGTTTTCTGCTCAAATGTAGAAACGCTATTACGGTAAATCATTCCCTGGATAAAAGCCTGGTTTGTGTGTGGTGTTTTGCGTCCTGCTCAGTGTGGAAATGAGGGAACTTGGGCTCTGAGTTCTCAGAAGCAGGTCACAGTGCTTGTGGCACAGCAGTGGCACGCAGCTCGGTGTCTTTGCTTCTCTTGATCGTGCTGCTGCCCTGAAACGGTTGGTGATGTTGGAATAAAAGTTAGCAGGCCAAACTTCCCAAGAGAAGACAGGAAAAGATACAAATTTTCTCCAAGGAGCAACTGTCAAAGTTGGAACCTTAATGGCTCTGTGGGTTCCTAGCAAAAGCAAAGTTTCTCCTTTGACTTTTAATTCCAACAAAACTTCTAATGCATGTCTAAATGCTTGATGTTCAAATACTGAGGGGGTTTGCACTCAAACTGAATGGAACGGTCAAGCTTCCTTTTCTTCTGCAGGAGTTCTGGAATTTTATTTCCTTTTCTTGTCTGTCTTGTCTCTGTCTGCCTTCCCTCTGTCTGTTGGCCAGACAGACAAGACTGGCTTCTCATCTGTTTGCCAACTTTTCACTAAAACTTGCATAAGGAATATACTGCATTATTTTGTAAAGTAAGTGACAAGCTTATAAACTGAGTTCTATAAATTTAAATATTCTTCTAATGCGGGCTATGCTGTAAAACAAAATAGCTACTTACAGTCCTGAATAAATAAAAATAAAAATATAAAAACAAAGTTAGATCTGTAAAAGTCTTCCTGAGCAACTGGAATTTTACTGTTAGTGAAGGAGCCCTTTCATATTAGCCGCTTCAAAGTTCTTATTCATTTCACTATCTTTTTACTAGATGCTTTGTTTGCATCTAAAGGAAAGCTGTGTCAGGATTTCAGTGTTTAGAAACCTGCTTTTTCTAACAAAGAAATTTGTTACCACATTTATTTTGTTGTTTCAACACTGCCCTTTAACTTGTCTAGCTCCCTCCTTCCTTAATGCTTACATCCCAGTGAATATAGAGATAACAAATCTATTCTTTCACCACTCATGTAAACCTTAATCCCTTAGCCTTGCATCATAAACTACATTCTCTATTTCCTTGTTCCTTCCTGTACCTGTGCTAATTAGAGCACATCTTTCTTGGACATGAGTGACCTATATTAGACTCAGTCTTCCAGATGGAATGATCTTTTATCTGACAAGCTGTATTGCTTAATATAAGATATTTATAGAATCATTTAAAGTACATATTTTATAAGCAATAGAAAATATATCCAATGAGATTGAGAAAACATAACACAGGAGCCCCAAATAAAACCAGAATCTCCATACACTGGGATAAAAAATGACTAGAAATTCCTGTCCTAACAGTAAGTTGACAAAACGTGCAATGAATCATGGAGAGTATCTACTGTACACAAAGTAATCATGTTACGTGTTTCTGGGTATGTGTAAACTAACAAACATAACAGGACAAAATGGGAAAGGGCAAAGTAGCTTAGTCTCAAATGACTGCTACGTAAGTTGGCATCTCTGTAGGTCTGATGCATTAAGAATACACACTCACGCCCAGCCGCAGCAGCAGATGTGCTGGTAGGAGAGGAAAGAGCATTGGATAACGATACGTGACTAGGGCTAGAAATATTGGTTACATCCTGGGTCTGGCTTGTGACGGAGGACTGTCTCCTTAGAGCCCCCTGAAAGGAAGTGCCACTCTTGAAAGTATTGACTACTTCGATCTGTAATGGAGGAAAGAATGAGACAAGTTGCTTAAAGTATGGATACAGTTGCATAACTGACAGGAATAATAATGAAAAACAATAAATCAACCGTGCAACAGTTTTACTTCAATTGAAATAAATACTTTTAAGTGTTCCTTTTACTGTTTTTAGATATGAAATTATCCAAATTTTCTGCCTGGATATAATGAAACAGCTCCATAGGAGGCAGTGGAGCTGCATCAGTTTAAACAACTAGAAGGTCTGAAATAATCATCTTTAAAATGTAAACCATTTTATTTATATGTAGATAAAGTGAATGTAACTGGAACACTTGATATAACTAATCTCCACTTTTTTCCTACTGAGAACAAAATTACTTTGTTATTGCTGTCTAGGTGTTCTTCCAGAGGGAGGAAAATTCAGTCATTTAATTGGAATTTGGAGGGGTGAGGGGGACAACACCCAACCAAACCAAAAAAACCTTTAAAATATTCAAAATATGACTCCATGTTTTCTACAAAAACAGGGTTGTCAGTATACTAGCTTGATAAAATATAAAGTGTTCCAATATTTTATCTGACTTTTTTCTACGATGAAAGTTTGTATAAATTAAGCATAGTGATAATGAATATTGGTCTTTTATAACTACAGATTTTAAAAGATTAATATTTTATCTTTATACAGACATATCTGTAGATATCACATAGAAAAGGATGTGGAACTGGATTGACTACTGCAGCAAATAACATTACAATTTTCTACTTGTTATTTTCATACGTCTATTGTATGCACTGTTTGATATATCCGTCCTAAGTGCTTTATTCATCACCACAGAATATGAGTTAAAAAAAGAGCTGAGTATTTCAAGGCATTCTTTCTCACCAGTATGACCCAATAAAAAACAAGCTCTGTGTACAAATGTAAATCCAGGGATTGGCAGTAGATAATATCAAGGAGTAAATATACGCTACAAATTCCTACACACCAAAATGTCGTCTTTGTTACATTAGTACAACCACAACATGACAAAGCAGCAGTAGTAGTATCAATTAGAAGAATTCAACCAACTACTTATTTGAAGTAACCCACTGTTACCAGATTTGTATCTTGCAACCCAGATTTCTGAAGATACACAGCCTATAAAGTAGTTGGGAGAAGGTAAAGTGGTATATTTATCAATGAAAACAGCACAAATCTTGGTGCAAGCCCTCCTAAATTTTCCAAGTTGAAAGCACTATAATAAATCGGCTAACATTTTCTGCTGTGGTCAGTCTTAGGAATAAACAAATTCATATGGCTTGATCTTTAATAGTATGGATGTATTCCCTCCCATAATCTTATCTTTGGACATCATTGTTTATTTTCCTGCATGTTTTTAAGGGAATAATCATATCACAGCCAGCTGTAAAAGGGATCAAAGATTACTGCTGTAAAATTGTCAAACTGAACTTTTACTATACAAACATGAAACAGCTGATTTGTTCACTGACCCACTGACAGTCCTATTTACAACATCCATTTAAATGTGCACACTAATAGATGTACAGTATTAAGCAGTCATCACAACACTTTACAGCTTTGCTCTGAGTGTTTTCTGCAGCAGACTTACTTTGAATTACACGTCCAATACAAATATCACAGTAAAAAAATACAGTATGAGGTGAGTTAGCATATGGAATAGGGATACAAGTGAATCATTAGCTAAGGTTCACATTGGCACCTAGAAAAAAACCATATGGCTCAAACCATTAGTTATATATGAATGCATATTAAATACTCACCTGAAATGTTCACTGTACAAAAGTAGAATTAAATACAGATCTTGGGTTTTCATGATCTAACACAGGTGACAGAGCACTCTTCAAAAGAGACCATTCAAAAAAGATTTTAAAGACTCTTACTGAGAGCATGAAGTGCGTATCACTGTGGAAGACACAGATGATAAATCCTAAGCCAAAGGGCATTTCTAGATGTACAAATGTCTTCCTAATAAACTGAAAGGAAAGACCTTAGTATAAGAGTGAAAAGATAAGGGAAGATCTGTATTTAATAGTTTCTCCAGAGAACAAGAGTTACAGGCATGTAATTTACATGTTCTCCTGAAGAAAGTAACTACAGATCTACATGGATATAATTCATAGAGGAAGGATGACAACCTTTTCAGAATCTTAAAAGCTGAACATACAAGGCTGTGTTCTGCCTGAAGCCAAGAAAGAAGAGAAGAACTTGGCCCAAAAGTTTATCTTCGAAAAACAGAAAACAACAAAAGAGAAAGAGTTCATATAAATAAATAAATAATGCATTTTAAATTAAGATGTAATTTTTTAATTACAAAAGAATGCATTTATTTAGAACAATTCAAGTTGCTAAAAAGGAGAAAGTAAATGAAAAGTCATACATCATGAAAAGTTTGAAAAATTTCCAACAAAATACAGGATGCAATCATGTTTTGATTATAGGCCATCAGGTAGAGAAAAAAAATACTGTCCTACATTTGAAGCTTATTTGTAAGGTTGGAATTTTCACCTCTCTCTCATTTTTCTGTATGTTCTATACTCTAGAAGATCAATATTTTTGAGGTACGCATAGCTAATAAAAATACCAGTGATCAGCAGTTAAAAAAAAAAAAAAAAAGGATCTTATACTAGCAGAATAGTCCTGGCAGAACAAACATTTTTCTGATGTTTAACACAGAACAGATTTTTAGCAAGCATTTCTGTTGTCATTAATGTTAACAGGACCCAGGTCTCATTCACCTAATCTCTAACCAGGATATTTTAAAAAAAAAAAAAAACACAAAACTTTTCTGCATGAAATAAAACAGTTTCCACTCCACTTACACTGGGCTATTGCAATGTTTTCTATATTAAAAGCTATACAGAAAGCCATAAAATGAGGCGCTAGCTTTTTATCTAACTTCAAAACCACTTGCCAGGAGTGAATTTCATTGCTGTAGGGTTTGCATTTGTTCAAGAGAAAAGTTTTAATGCAGAAAGGAAGGGAAAGAAAATGCAGTACAGCACCTCTATGTATTTTTTAGTATCTAAAGAGGAATAATCTTTTTTCAGTAGCAGTTAACATGGCACCTGTATATTTTTTAGTTTTTGCTTTTATTCTTAAAACATTTCTAGACAGTTATTTCCCACCTTAAGCAGATAAAGCAAACTGAATTACAGGATGAATGAAGCAGAGGAGGAAAGAATCAGGCCCGGTGTTGTAAAAATCTGACATGTAGCTTGAAAAGTTTTCAAATCTCCACACTTCACAATTTTTCCATACTCAAATGTGAGGTAACTAGAGAAACTTTTCAGTATACAATTAAAAAAGATGCAATGATTTTTCGGTTGTTACTCAGATTACGCAGTTTTGCCTGAAGGTGAACTTGCTGAACTTTCTAAAGGCCATTAGGTCTGCCAAAATGGTATGATCAGTCTTGTCTCTTCCTTCAGAGTGAAGAATTTGTGAGAACTGCAACAAAGACTTGGAAAAAATTGCTGAAAACTAGCAGAGGTTGAAAAGTCCTGTCTTTTACACAATTTGAGACCACCTTTATATCTTTCTGAAACTTGCATAACTAGGATGAGTGATTTGTGAAACTTCATATGACAGCGCTATCCAGCAAGGAAACACTCTTCCATTCAGAGAAGGAGAACATGCATCCATCCAGAGAAGCCTATAGTATATTTATAAGACAACAAAATATCTAAATGAACAAAAGTAGACGAAAAAAGAAAATCAGAAGTAAATAGCCAATCTCTTTGACTTAGTTATGTGCATTTTTCATACACCTTCCTTTAAAGTAAATTCATGCATGTCTTCATAGAAATATGTCTGACATTTCAGTATGAAGAGTCAACAGTGGAAATCCCTTCTCTGGTATCTAGGTTTGAACCCTCTGTTTTGAGAGAGGGCGCGAAAAAGAAAAAAACATCTCTAGTACTGCAAAGTTTTTGTCGGTTTGGATGAGTTTTTATTGGAGCATTACAAGGGAGATCTGTCAGTTATCTGGAAAGAAAAAACTGATCGTAGATTCTTTATAACTGTTTTAGGAGTGAAGGCTTTTGTTGAGTGGTTATCTGTCAATAATGACTGAATAGAAAATAAGCAAAAATAAAGATAATCTAATATACAGCACAAGCGTATGATGGTGGAAACTGGTCTTGGTAGGATTTGAACGATCAATCTAGTTGTGAGAGAGTCTAGAGTTTATTCCTAATCTTACTGTCATCCTCTTATACATATAAAGTGAGGGGATGCTCTACCTTCTTCTTCCGCATCTCCAGAAGTGCATTAGACATCAGAGGATTCTTGCAAATCCTCCAGCTCCCCAAGGATGCTACAGACATCCTCATCTTCTTCCATCAACTCTTCTTTAGCTGGCTTCCTGAGAAATGTAGTACAAGTGTATGAATTCATCTGGATAGGCCACAACACGTAGCACATCAAAATGCGCTCAACTCAAGGTCCATCCATCAATGGATCTAATTTGACCTGCATATAAGTTCATCACTCTCCAGTGGACACCTTGGAACTATTTTTGAATCTGTTGGCCCATTTCCTTTTCTCATTATCATTCCACAGATGTGAAATGGATGTAAAAATCAAAGTCACTGAATAAACAAAATGAGAAAAAAAATCACAGAGGCCTCTTGGCAGAAGAGAAACAGTACATCCTACCGAAGAGGATTCTATAACTAAGAGCAGAAAGGAAACTAAGAAGATGGATGTTAGCAAAGAAATATAATTATTGTTCATTTTGTTTTAAACAGTATAAAAGAATAATAATTTATCTGTGAATTAAGTGGACAAAGATATGCAGAACTAAAAGCTACCTCTCAGACTAGAAAAAGAACTGAAAGGATGTAATTTGCTTTTTTGTGCTTGTAGTTGTTTACACTCACCACAACCAGAAAGACATCCTGACAGAAATGCCAACAGACAACACTCCTCCTACAGCCATCAGGAAGAAAAGAAGGCACATTTAGAGGTCATGTTTCATAAAGATCACCATTACCGGGGACCTGCTTGTCACCTTTATACTGTGACAATTTGAATTTTCTCTAATGATGAGTGCTCCTGACTCAATAGAGTCAAGACACACAACCTCAAAGCTGAAGATCCGTATTTAATTACTTACCACAGAACCTTGGGAATTTACCCAAACCCTTAATCTCTCTAACAGCAGTTTCCACCCTCTTTATTTTTTGCTCTGCGGATGCACTAAAGAGACCTAACTGTCCTAGTTTCAGTAAACTGCTTTCCCTCATTTTTTCTAAAATGCATGGCTGCATCTCTTTCTCCAGAAAAAAATGTATCAATTTGTAGATGGGAAAAGGGAGAAAGTACTGTTTATCTTGAATGAAGACAAAAACCAACATCCTCTGAGATAATAATGTTCTTTATAAGATTCTTTACAGAAAAAAATATTTTTCTTAATTATTCACATCTTCTTCTTGTAAGCATCATGTAAAACATTCACATCTGATATGGTGAGTACATATCTTTCAGAGCCACTCTCTTCTGCAAGCTGGCACAAATACTTGATCTTAGAAAGATCAAGTAGAGAGCACTAGAGTGCTATAAAACATGCTACTTCACTGCAATGAAAAAGGCGAAATAGTTCAAATAATTTTTACAGGACAAATTTTACTAGATATCCTAATCTGTACTATATTTAGCACCATAATTCAGTGCAAATATTTAGTATATTAAAAAACACCATAGATTTTTGTATTTAGCAAAAGTTGTTTTTTTTTTTTTAAATAAAAAGATAGATATTTCTAAGAAATCATCCGTAGTAGCCAACACATACATTTCAATACTTAATGGATGCTTAGGCCCTTACTACTAAAAATAAATCCAGCACCACATTTTTCATTACCTAATAGGAAAGAAAATCAGTTCCTTTTAATCATGATATATATATGGTAGTGCCACAACAGAAAAGATTTTTTTTTTTTTTTAATCAAATGGTACTTTATACTTTATAGACACAACAATTTAAATTATTCTGTTATTGCAGAAGTGGCAGCAACAATATATTTTTGACAAAATAAACCAGTATGTTTTAGAAAGCCTTCATAACATTTTGCTAGCCATTGTCACAGCTAGCATTTTCCAAGTAGCACCATTTTATGAGCTGTCATCATTGAAATAGAAAAAGAATGTCCATTCACAGTAGTCTCAAAAAAAGTATTCCTATTTTTGCATATTATCATTTTATAATCTTTTCACTTTAACTCTTCTGCTATACACAGACACCTTTGTTCAGTTCACCTATTTTACTTTTTCATGTGTTCGTCCTTTGAAAACAGTAAAGCAATTAACAAGTACCATCACATACACAAAGACTCTGTGGCTTTCCTTACAACATTATCTTGCCTTGATCAAAGATTAAGCATTTTTTTTCTAGACCATGTGGGCATTTATTTTTAGCATACCTGGGTTTGGATTCTGTTGAGCCCTCTGAACCAGAGAATTTGTCCACGTCGAAGTTCTCTCTCTGCATGATCAATTTCTTCAACATCTTCATTGAGTTCTTCTTCAGGGACCTCCTCCTTCTCAGTGAGCCTCCCTGCCTCCTTTAAAAACTTTAGCCTACTTGTTGGGATGGTTGCAATGACCTAAAATTACAAAAAAGTACTGAAAACATAAGCCTTATTCAATGACAATAGTATAATAACCTGCTAATTACAAAAGAACACTGATATTTTAATTAGATCTATGATCTTTCAGGGAAGTTAAGATAAGCATATTCATAATAGTACTTCACACTTACACAACTCCATTTTAGTCCAAAAATACTTAGTTTACTGTCTAAACAATTAGCATTACTTGCATCGTTAAGCCACACTGGCAATACACAGCTATGGAGCAAGTTTAAGGCTGGGAAAAATGTTGTCCTTTCTCAAAAAACTAAAAGAAGATGTAAGTATTTGAATGTAATTATTTAAAGAAAACTTAGCAAGATTGATACTTCTGCAATTGGAGTTTCGGTATTTCTAATGACTGATAAAAACCTAATGTTTGTTATTGTGAGCTGAAAATTAGTTGCATCTCACACTTACAAATCTTCTCACACTACATTGGTTCATGATTTCAGCTTTTCTCAGCATTTATCAAAAGTGAGGTTGCTGAAAGGTGTGGGTTTGACTATCTCCCTGTTGGACTTCTTATACGGCTATCTCTTACTCTGTGTCCTTATTACTAATAAATTCTGATTAACTCAGCCCCTCTTCTTATTCTGTTTGTCCACCGAAGTGGTCCTTGGAAGTAAATAATACAGGAGATGGCTAATAATCTTAAAAATTTGCAAATACTGTAGTTAGACAATGTTATAATACAACTATTTTAAATACATTTTAGTGTTACCCTCTTGGGCAGTCATTTTCTCTTTGTTCTGATTTCTTTTGTCAGCTTGAATAAAAATATGAGCAGACGGCTATTTAAACAAGACATTACCTGGAACATATTGTATGCTTTAAAAAAAAAAAAAAATCTCCTACAAAGTTAACTGTTAGACCCATTTAGCAAAAAAGTGCTGCAATTTCCTTTTTTGTTTGTCTTTGTTTCAGCAGTGAGCAATCACATCTCTGAAGCCCAGATTGTGAAAGATGGAGATAGAATCAGACAGTTGCAGGGAAGTTGCAGGTGAGGATATATCTTACAGTTTTGGAAAACTGGAATGGATATAGTGAAGACACACGAAAAGGCACCAAATATTTTCAGGATGAAAATAAGCTGTTGAGTTTACTGAGGGTCTCCTTGAACTTCATGATCCACAACTCCACTTTTATTATATTATTTTTAAAGACAGATAAAGAAATGTCAAAAAAACCCAGTTTCCGCACTACTACAGAACCTTTTAAAAATGCATTTTTGGGATTTGAAAAACAAGATGTAAACTTGGAAAATTAATGAATTGGTGTGACACGAGCAAAGACAGAACAGGAGAAAAAAAGAAAAGGTAAGTGCTAATAATTTTAAATACTTACTGAAACTCCTTCAGCTTCCCAGCTTTCAAAACACTATAATGCCAGCACTCTACAGAAAGAAGCTACTTGAGACCATTTGGTATCTGATGAAACTGATGGTGATGAAGTACTTGCGAGACAGTACACATAGAAACAACTGTATTTGGTAGTGATTCTGTGCAATAGAACATACCTCTCCTTCACTACCTCTCTCAGCCAGGCTGATAGATTCTGCTTTAATTCTTTTCTTAGGGTGTTTACCTGTCTTTTTGTTTGTTCATTTGTTTTCCATATCTGCAGACACCTGGCCAGTTGGTAATGGCAGACTCAATAGACTGGATGTAGATTAAGGAACTAAATATTATTCCCAGAACAATTATCGCACTTTTAAAAAGTGATCAATAATTCTGGGAATGTAACACGAAATATTTTACAAAGACTTGATTTTCAGAAGTGATGAGGGCCACCTTTTAGAAAACTGTCCCTCAAAGCATCTCAGATTGGCTTCCTAGAAATTACACGTTAAATCACTTTTAAAAGCACCAACTTTAACATCTAAACTTGAAAATCTTGACTGGTTTTAGTGGTTCACAAGAACAGCAGGTTCAGGAGACTGATGAAACAAAGGGATAACAAATTTGGTTTGTGCTGAAGTAGAATTAGTCATAGCAGGAGAGAAAAGGCTGAGAAGCAGGAGAAGCACCTCTTCTAAAGGAAAAGAAGTCTCTCTTACTATAGAGCTCCATGAAGAGAGGACTTGCCACAGCCTGTAAATCACATAAATATGTAAATAACGCCTTTTTTTAGCTTGTGTTTTTCTTTACTGGTCACTAAACACTGACCACAAGAGAAAGATTTTTTTTTCCCTCTGTATTTGCTTTATGTAAAATTGTAGTCTTTTCAGTGATAAAATTGTTGAGGTATTCCAATACCAGTTTTAATTTAATGGCTAGGCTCTTGCAATAAGGCTTGGGCAACTATGCCCGTCTTTAAATTGAAAACAGATGCTGATATTATTCTTAGTTTTCAATGGTTATCTAATAACCACGTGTAACAAAATTTAGAAGCCAAATAGTACATTGATCAAAGGCTGTGGGAAATTCTTCACAGCTGAATGATCTAATAAAACAGCTAAGGATTTTTCTCCCTTTCCCTGTTTTTCTTCCCCCTTCTCAAACTTGGTATTTTCCAATCAGTTGAAAACAAATCTCTTCTTTCCAAGAATGATCAAACTGATTTTAGGTATTCCTCCTGCAAGGTCATAAATCAAATCCCATCTTCAGGTCATAATTACAGTAGAACGATCTAATAATGGTGGTTTTCAGCAACATAGGCATTACAAGCTGTCATGACTTTAAGCTTATTTCTTCAAAAAAATCTGAGGCCCAGCTGTCCAAAAACTTAATTTTTTCCGTAAGAGAACAAATAATCAGTTTTGAAAGCTAGGATCTATTCATTACAATTCCATCAGAACCATTTCAGTATTCAATTGCAGTTGGCAATTTCTTGCCTGTTTCTTCATAAGGGCAAACTAGTTGATATATATGTATCTTAACATCTGAGAGGCAAAATGTAACTTCACATTTTTCACTTTTTTTTTACTGTGTCAGGTGGCATCAACTTAAATACTTTATAATGCATTCAAAGATGAAAAAATTAACATTATTATTAACTTTGCAATGTGTTTGCACGTAGAAGAATAATGTAGTATTTTAACAATACTGATTGTATCTGTATTATTTTACTTCCAGACAGATAATCATATAGCTCATTTAGTTATCTCATTGACACATGTTTTTACATCTATATATAATTTTATATTAGTTAATGATGACACAGGTTGTAGCAGAATTTTAAAATGACACATGAATTAAACGGCACTTTTCTGCAAGTATTATAGGAAAAAATCCTTTTTCTTTCATCCTCTCTTCCATCCTTTGAACACAGAAGTAGATGGATGGAAGATCACGGCAGGTGTATATTAAGTGCACTGGACTCAGTCCTATGCCAGTAACAAGGCTATTATGGATTGACAGAATGGCAGTTTCAGCAAGGGAATGAGTGGGTTGACATAGAACTGGAACTTCTTTCACTTTCAAAAATTTGCCATGGCTGAACATACACATGCTACACTGGGTACTCTATTGCAGGGAAGGTTACAGTGCATTTGCCCTTACTATACTTCTTTTATGGCTAGAGGACTAGCTTATGAATCAAACGTCTTTCACAAAAAAGCCTTACTGAAGAAGACCTTGGTGATAGCATGCCCTGCTCAGGGAAAGAAAAGATCTGAAAATTAACAAAAATCAAAAGGAACAATGGGATAAATTATCCTTACTACTACATCTATTCTTGAAGTACTTAGAGAACACCCTGTATTTCAATGTGTGCTAAATATGACATCGTGAGAGATCAAGGAAACAACAGTATAGTAGGATTATGAACAATATCAGATCTGCATATTCCTGAATGCTTACCTGACCCCATACAAGTTCTCCTAATCCAATAAATACACACCACATCCACTGGTCAAGCTGCAGGGGAGAACAGCTAAATGGTTTTCCTCCAAACTGGACAATTACTATCTACAAAGAAAAGAAAAGCAGAGAAGAAAGGGGGTAAATATTTTCGGGG